ATGTTTGATCTTGAAAATTCCCCGTCTATCTTAGCTAAGTGCCTCATTACCAAAGAGGAAGAAACGTGGCTATGGCATCGTCGGATAGCTCACGTTAATATGGACCATCTTAATAAGTTGGTTTCTAAAGACTTAGTAATTGGTGTTCCTAAACTTAAGTTTGAGAAGAATCTAATTTGTGATGCATGTCAAAAGGGGAAGCAAGTAAGGGCCTCGTTTAAGTCAAAGAACGTTGTTTCTACGACTAGGCCATTACAACTTTTGCACATGGACCTTTTTGGACCTTCAAGAACTATGAGTTTAGGAGGTAATTACTTTGGCTTTGTTATCGTTGATGACTATTCGAGGTTTACATGGACACTCTTTCTAGCTCATAAGTATGATGCACTTAATGCTTTTAAGAAATTCATTAAATTGGTTCAAAATGAAAAAGACTCTCACATTGCATCCATTAGAAGTGATCATGGGGGAGAATTTGATCAAGACGGCTTTGATGTCGTTTGTGACGAATTAGGCATTGAGCATAATTTTTCAGCCCCCCATACACCACAACAAAATGGCGTGGTTGAACGGAAAAATAGGTCTCTTGAAGAGATGGCTAGAACTATGCTCAATGAGGCAAACCTTCCTAAATATTTTTGGGCGGATGCCGTGAGTACCGCGTGCTACGTGTTAAACCGAGCCGTCATTAGACCGATACTTAAGAAAACGCCCTATGAACTTTACAAAGCAAGAAAGCCTAACCTTTCCTATTTTCATGTCTTTGGATGTAAAGTTTTTATTCATAATAATGGAAAAGATAACTTGGGAAAATTTGATGCTAAGTCGGATGAAGGAATTTTCTTAGGTTATTCTCTTCGTAGTAAGGCATATATAGAGTGTTCAACAAGCGTACTAAGACCGTAGAGGAGTCTATTCATGTTGTCTTTGATGAATTTGATGCTCGCTTGGCGAGAAAAGGTACTGTTGATAATGTTGCAGGTTCTTATGACTATGAAGAAGATATTCTTAAGGAAAAGGAACCGGAAGAAGAGAAAATGCAGAAACAAACGGAGCTTCCTAAGGAGTGGAGAACATTGAAGAACCACCCAATTGAAAATGTCATTGGTGACATAACGCAGGGAGTTTCTACTCGTAATTCTCTTAAGAACACAATTAATCACATGGCCTTTGTTTCACAAATTGAACCAACAACCGTTTTGGATGCTATTAATGATGAACATTGGTCTATGGCAATGCAAGAGGAGCTTAACCAATTTAAACACAATGATGTTTGGGAATTGGTGCCTAGACCTAATGATCATTCCGTTATTGGCACAAAATGGGTGTTTCGTAACAAACTCGATGAAAATGGAGTAATCACTAGAAACAAAGCTAGGCTTGTAGCTAAAG